CAATGAACCAGGAGAACCGTTTGGTTTTTTTTTTTTTTTTTTTTGCCTTTCTCTCCCCAGTGCTATTTTCTGTGACTTTGCAGCAAAACGGCAGCAGTGACAAATCACCAAGATTTGAGTCCAGCTCAATGCAGCTCTGACTCTTTCATCTTGAGCAGTATCATCTTTTTAATGGGATATCGTGATAGACTTTTTTCCTGAGGAAGAATGGACTAGGACTTTTCTAAAAAGTCTATATTAGTGTTTGTGAAAAGTGGCAGTGATAGCACCTGGAGACCCCCACTAAGGAAAGGGAAAACAAAAAGCAAACTAGCGAGTGATATCATTGTCAACTAACAAGACAATGGCCATGTTTTTCTGGCCAATTCTGTTCAACGTGCCCACAGGTTTTGTACATGGAGTAGCCCGTGTGCAGAGAGCACTTCCCAATGCATTAGGAGAGACTAGACAAAACAGAACCCTTGTCTTTACAAAAGTGGATAAAGGACCTTAACAGGGTGAGGATTCACTTAACCTCCCCAACCTCAGTTTCTTCAGCTTTAGTGTAAGTGTCGTATAACATCACAGGATTCTTTGGAAAGGAGAAAAGAGAACTGAAGATATGTATTGTTTATCCCTTTGTGATAATAATAATTATTGAATGTTTGTTGTGGATCAGACTCTGTGCTACAGGTTTTCAACACACATTCTCTCATGTAGCCATCAAATCCATGTACTTTCGCTAGGTTTTTTAGATCAGAAAATAACTATATAGAAAGGCTAATTAATTTCTCTAAGACCATATAGCTTGTGAATGGAGGGATTGACAGTGGCCTGACTCAGGAACCTATGTTCTTATGCACTGTTTGATCAGAATTCTCTGAGAATTGCAAATGCCATGGAGAGGTAATGGTAGCATTATGATCTCCAGGGAGGGCAAGGTAGGCACCAATATTTTCAGCTAAAGTTGAGTGGATGATGAACATGACAGCGAGACAGTAAGTATAAAGACTGCTCTATTTTTCAGATCCCAAAAGTTTACAGAAATGGGGCTGTGAACCCAGACTTTGCTCATATCATTCATTCAACAATATTTATTGCACATTCCCTGTAGTTGGGCACAGTGCTGCACCCTTAAAGAGAACCATTATTATTATTGGAATTAGCAGTTTTATGAAAGAGTAGTTCTTAGGTAGGAAAGGAGAAAAGATTTTACAAAGGCGGTAAAGTGGTTTTTTTCTGTGAAGGCGAAGAGTGACTCATCAGTAGACCACAGATACACATCACAGAATCAAGCAAGAACCATCCTTTCCACCATTTAAGAATTGTAGCAGCAGGACCAGCAGGTGGTGTGGTGGTTAAGAGCACTGGACTCCCACATGGCAACCGTGATTCAAGTCCTTGACCTGGCGGCTTGCTTTCTCACTTTCCGTCTCTCTCTCTCTCTCTCTCTCTCTCTCTCTCTCTCACTCTCGCTCTGTCCCTCTCTGGTCAAAATAAATAAGTGAGCAAAGTTAAATTAAATAATTTTTTAAAAAAGAATTATAGCAACACCTAGCACAGTGCCTTGTACACAGTGGGTACTCAATAAGTGTTTGTGATGAGCATGCAGACATGAATAAATGAATGAACTGAATTATTCCTGGAGATGTGACAGCCATCAGTGTAATAATAGGGCCGTGTTTCCTCCATCTTCCAATGACTCAACAGATTTACATTGGTCACATCGTACCACTGGGTGCTGCTGATACAGACGGCCGCCTGAGGTCTGGAGATGAATTAATCTGTGTGGATGGAACACCAGTCATTGGAAAATCACACCAGCTTGTGGTCCAGCTCATGCAACAGGCCGCCAAGCAAGGCCACGTCAATCTCACAGTGCGGCGCAAAGTGGTATTTGCAGGTATGTTTTTCATTCATTCCTTCAGACAGGGCATTGTCACTTCATGCACAGAAAAGGCCTCCTTCCCATGTCTGCCTCCTCAAGCATCTATTTTAGCAAATGTTTGCAAATGTGATCAAGCTCAGAATTTCCAGATGGCTTGCTTTTCTCAAACCCTGCAGAACTACTGTCATTCAAAAGAACTTTAATGTGTTATGTGCATATGTTCAGCAAAGGCTTCCTGAAGAAGGCTGGTTGAATGTTTATTACCACCCTCCAGTCCCCATGCTAAGAATTTAGCCATCCTCTTCATTTGGTGATAATCTTCAACAAAAGTTTATTACATAAAAGTCAGAAGCATTATATCTTCCAAATAATAAAACAGAAATTAAGTTTGTGGTGTAAAATAAGCATCTAAAAAAGTTAGTGGTTTCTTAATCTGTTGTTGACCACCATAGGTATTAAGGCAAGACTTTTTTCCCCCCCTCTCACTGCTAGAAAGTTGTAGAGCTGCTCAGCTCTGGGTCATCTTTGATTCTTTCTTCCTGCCCAGAGGCTTCAAACCCTAGTTCTCAAAATACTACCTATCCTTCCAGGCTTTGCTCAAATATAACCATCCTCCCTGGAAATTCCCTCCTCCTTCCAGCTGCTTTCAAATTTTAGCATTCCCTTGCCATTCTTTTGATAGATGGTGTACTTTTGTATCAAAATCTGCCATTTTGAAGTAGCTAATTGTGTGTGTGTGTGTGTGAGAGAGAGAGAGAGAGAGATTTTCACTGACTTAACAGCTTTTTGAAAGCATGCACCTTAATTGTTCATTTTTGTATGCCACTCCTACCACAAAGATTAAATGTTGTGTCCCTTGAATTACTGAAGAAATTGACATGAAATATTATGAGTTCTTTGTAGAATTAATATTAGTAAAACAAATACCTAGGTGATAAAATAAATTGGTACCTTGTCAAAAAAAAATAACCCTAGTATAACCCATTTTTAAATAGTATGTAATTAATCACAGAATTAAGATATAAAATTCTAGTGTAGGAGTTCTACCTACAACAGCCATAGAAAACGATGTTACTCACCCATAAATTATGTCCCTAGAGCTCATTTATGGCCTCAAAATCCTTCTTAACACAAGATCCTTTGCGGCCAAAAGCAATCAGTAGAATTGGTGTTTTGAGATGAGTTGAAAACTATTTTACTTCCTTAACCCCCAAAAAATAGTATGGGTTTGTGATATTTTGGGGGGTTTGTTTCGGGTTTTTTTTTAAAATCTTTAATATTTTGGATTTTCAAGGTCTGTGTATAAGGCAGGCTAAGCCATGAAGAGATACTATGCTAAAAGAAATAAGATAGTCTCAAAGGAACAAATACTTCCTGTACAAGGTACCTAGAATAATCAAATCACAGAAAGAAAGAACAGTGGTTCTCAGTGGCAGGTGGAAGGGGAGGTGGTAATTAGTTAGTGTTTAATGAATACCAAGTTTTAGTTTGGGAATGTGACAGAGGTCTGAAGATGGATGGTGATGTCAGTTGCATATCAGTGTGGATGCAACAAGGACAACTGTGTACTTAAGAATGATTAAAATGGTACAATTGATGCCAAAACATATGAATATTTTTTCAAATAAAAAAATTATGAAAGGAGAAGCAAAAATAGTCTTACCCAAAACCTAAACATGGTTTTGTTTTTGGCATAGTCACTTCCACCTACTATATTGCCTGTTTAGGACTGAGTGCTTTATTATGTCACCTGACAAAGCAGTGGCACTAGAATGGTGACTAAATTCAGAAGGAGGCTTCCGTATCCATATCTGTGATCGGAGTAGATGCTGACCTCTGGAAACGAGGAAAAGAAGCTGCGTATACCCTTCACGGGTGCTGACAGGTAGTACAGTCAGCTTAGGGTCTTTACTGATGGCCAAAGCAGAAGCTGAGCAGAAATCTGACTCCAAGGAAGCGAGGACAAGAGTGTGCAGCAGAGGCTGTACCTGAGACGGCAGTCCTCATTGGTGCAGCCCGCACCTGCACTTAGTGTATGCTTTCCTTGTGCAATGGGAAGTCTTTCCCAGTGGGCTGAACCTGCTGCAAACTTGAATCTCAGCATGGATGTTGATATACTATATGTTTTTAATTCCTTTTTTTGTTTTTATGGAGAGGTGTTTTGTTTTGTTTTGTTTTGCTATAGGGCGCATGCACTTGCCAGACAGAGAGAGACAGAGAAATAGAAAGCGAGAAATCACCCCCCAAGGGGGGATCCCACACTGCAGTCCCTTCTCCTCCATTCTCCTCTTGGGATCTTGGGCATGTGCACACACACACGCCCAGCATGAGTTTAAGCCACCGGGTCCGGGCGGCAAACCACAGTCGACTACATGGGAGTCCAGTGACATAGCCATTACGCTAACTGCTGATCCCTATGTTTTTAATTCTTGACAGAAAGAACCAATTCTGCAAAAATAATAATCCGTGTGGTTTATTTCTAAGCACAAATATGAGGGACCTAGGCCCAGAGAGGAGGCAAAACATGCCTTTCTCAGGGTGATCAGGAACAAGGGTTCCTTTGATTTGATTTTGAGAGTGAGAGACGTTTGGAATTTAGTGAAGAGTTTTTCTATTGGTCTGGTCCAAAAAGGTGAGACATGTAGACATGGGAGGCTTGTAGGTTATAGGTGGGTTTTACAGTTTTTAGGTTGGTGAATTGGAAAAGAAAGGTGGCTGAAATCAGAAAGAAATGTACTTTAACAGAAATAAGGAGGCTTAATATACATTACAAAGTTACTATGCCAGGGAGAGGATGTAAGAAGAATCCTGTTATCAGTGGGTCAAAATGATCTGTTAATGTTTGTGGGCATGACTCCCTCCAGACCCTCTGAAAGAATTGTGGAAATAGGAAAAAAAAAGACTTCTGTCCTCAAAATGATACATGATTTGGGAATCCTCTTTGGTGTTCACATAATGATCCTGGAAACCAAACGGTTGGTATTTTTGAAGAGTACCTGTTTTCAGTCTCTATTCCCATTATGTAAGGCCAACTGACCTCTTACCTTGGCTAATCTCTATTTCTTGCAAGTTTGTGGAGATGGGAGACCGAGGTTCAGCTGGGTGGCAGGGCACAGTTTTTGGCAAAGCCAGGTAACACAGACAATCATCTCTCTGTCACAGTCCCCAAGACAGAGAACGAAATGCCCTCCCCAGCCTCATCCCACCACAGCAGCAACCAGCCCGCATCGCTGACCGAGGAGAAGCGCACGCCGCAGGGCAGCCAGAACTCGCTGAACACAGTGAGCTCAGGCAGTGGCAGCACCAGCGGCATCGGCAGCGGCGGCGGCGCGGGCAGCGGCGTGGTGAGCACCGTGGTGCAGCCCTACGACGTGGAGATCCGGCGTGGGGAGAACGAGGGTTTCGGCTTCGTCATCGTGTCCTCGGTGAGCAGGCCCGAAGCAGGCACGACCTTTGGTGAGTGCTGAGATCGTTTCCCCAGGGTCTCCCACCTCGCTGGGGAGTGTGCTCTTGCCAATGAAAGACAGCAAAAGGCTCCTTAAGAGAAATGCTTTACTGCCTATGCTTTAGGTAAATTCTTAATTGGGGATGGAATATACATGATAGTTCTTTCCCTTCAGAAGGTTGGGGATTTTTTTTAACCCTTTCAGGTTCTGTTCTGAATATATGATCAGACACAACTTCAAGCACCTATAAAATTGTCGTGAAATTTGAGTAGCAGTCTCTTGACAATGCAGTATCCAAAATTTTTGCCAGAAGAGGACTTTAGAAAGGCACTCAGTGAGGTGTCATTAATAGCAGTAGTCTCAGAGAGTCTTGAGAGTTTAAAAAGGAGTCTAAGGTTGTAAAATGCCCAGGAGAATCAGAAGTATAAGGAATGAAAATACATGAGATGCTCTTTCCACCTAATCTATGTACTTTCTGTACTCTATTCCCATCTGATTTTTTTTTTTAATTTTAAGTAATATTTTTGCTATTGCTTGATTAAAGTCTTAGTGAGGAGTCATTCGAATTTCCTGTCTGGTCCTGACAGATGTTAAACATTTCCGCGAATATGGGAAAACACTCTTGTCACCCTTTCAGAAGGCTAACTCACTGCTGGGTGCACTAGCCAAGACTAATAAAAACCCACATGATTCCAGGAAATAGTAACTTATGAATCTGTTTCCCATTAGAAGGGATTGTGCCCATACACTCCAAAAATGATCTGCCTTCCTGATTAGATAAAAGTCACTTCTTATCTCTCAAGCGTATTATTAATCACGGTGGAATGTGATGGGAGTGGGGAAAGGACTCTAAAAGCTTTGACTTGTACCTCAACCCTATCCCCAAATGACTTATCCACATGAAGTCTGAAGACAGTGGCCTAGATCACCCTCTGGCTGAGATTGGCAAGGTCCCACATTTTGTTAGCATTATGATCCAGTAGAATTCAGCTTCACCTCCATCTCATCTTGGTATGTTGCTTCCTGCTAAAGCTGTCTTTCCCATAAAGTTTACGTTTGGTGGGGGACAGTGACTCAGCCAGGTCTATGCATGTGTGGCTGCTGTGATAAACACCCACTACTAATAGTGCCTTTATGAGCTACATTAATATAGTTATTGCTGCATGTCACGGATGGATGATGACCTGGCATCAAGGCACTTTTTGTTATTAAATTAATTCCTAAGACTATTTCGTTCCACTTAACAGAAAGGAGAGAGGAAGGAGAAAGGGGATAAGAAATTCTTAGTTGCTTTCTTTAGATCTACAATTTGACTGCTTGTATACTGTGTGATGACTGCGGAATTCTCAATTTACTTCCTAGAAAAAAATTGCAGATATGTCAAGTTGCAGGCTGTGTGTTATTTAATGCACATTGACTGACTGCTTTCACTCACAGCTCCATCTTTGATTATTTTCCTTTGGCTCTTATGAACAAATTAAACTTTCTTTAATACCTTGCATGAGACTTCTGAGCTATGCAGAACTTTCTTGATACTTGCTATTTGATACCTTTGTCATGTGAGTTGTTCTTGGACATGAGCTAAACTGAATCAAGGCCTTGAATTTGGATATGGAAGCTTTCTAGCACATCTACCTGCTGGGTAGTGAAAGACTGCTGACTTTTTTTTTTTTCTTTACTTTTTTTATCATCATCATAATCTTCTTTATATTACATTGGATTACATATAACTTTACAGTGTATTACATTGTTTTTTCAAAAGGGAATGCCATGCATGTCAGTCAGTACAGAGACATTAATCTCCCCACTTCAACATTCAATATCTTTTCTATGTTTTCCTCAAACATTATTTTTATTATTCTAATTATTTTTAAAACAGTCAATTGCTATTTCTCATTTTGCTTGTAAAAATACTTTGCCCATCATGAAATACTTCTCAGACCAATCCAGTTGAGAATACTATACATGTCATCATCAACAGTTAATAAGCCCTATCTGTTTCTCACTAACGTCCTGCCCCTCTATTGTTAAGACTGCTGACTTTTTAAAAATTTTTTGACATCCTGTAATGTAAACTCTGGCAAATCTGCTGAAATTCAAATGAATTAAAGTACATTTTTTCCACATATTTTACCCTTAACATCCAAATTATGATGGAAGAGCCTCCTCAGTTAGTTTCAGTGTGTCCTACATGAATTTTGTCACCCTTTCCAAAAGTAACTCGACACATAACTATTAATATCGTCATAGTCCACAGAAAGACACAATTTTCAGAGTAGATGACTGTCCACTAGATACTTGAAAACACAATATACAATTAGCCAGAAACCCTCCGTCAGACCTCAAAGCCAATTTTTCACCTCTATCTAGAAGTTAGCAATGACATAGAGAACCTCAAAGTACACAGTAAACCTTCCTCTGCAAATGCCCATTTCCTGATGTTCATATTATGGCTGTGCAGTAACTGATGATGAGAAAGGAGATGATTAAAGGAAAAGAGTTGAGGGGTGAATTGAACCTAGCTTTGGATCAATGTCTTCAGTCTGAATAGGCACTCAATTTTCATATTCCTTTGAGGAGATTTTTGTGAGGCAGGAGGATGGTTTTGAAACTAATGAGCCAGTCCGGCCCTGCACTGAAAGCACATGAGAAAGTCTGACTGAGCAAAGGTCTTGAAAGGAAAAAACAAGTGTCAAGGTTGGGTGCTTTCTTGGCTCATCTCTTATAATTATGCCCTTTTTCTAAAGCTTTCATCATTCTGGATAGAAGGCAGAAAGTCTAAGAGTTTGTACATTAGATGTTTTCACATGGAAATGTGGATGCTAGCGTACTCTTAGGCCTTAACAGAAGCCCAGTGATTTTTTCTCAATGGAGAAAGAACCAAACCCTGGCAGAAGCTTAAACAACAGCTGGCAAAAATGAAGTGAGATGGACACAGAATGAGTAAAACCAACCATCCAATTCTCTGGGTTTCACATTTGCAGTCTCCAGATAAGCCAATGACAAGTTATTTTGGGGGCTCTCAGGAATCTCTGAAGTTGCCAAATAACCCAAAGTTTTTTTACTGATTTTAGGGGGGTGGAGGAGTGGGATTTTCCTTTAATTTTGAATCAAGAAGGGACTGCAGCAATGCACTGCTGTTTCAGGGCAATAGCTTCTTATACAGACACCCTGAATATTGCCAATGTTATGACCATCGGCGCAGAGCTCTCCTTTAATAACATTTGCTTAATGCTTTAATTAATTAACACTTAAAAAAATTCCCTTTTCAACCCTTTTTCTCCTCCCTTCACTATATTCCCACGTAACTTTAAAAAAAAAATAAAACTCGATATCAAAGCAGGCAATGCATGTGTGGCTATGCCTCACAAAATAGGTCGGATTATTGAGGGGAGCCCTGCTGACCGCTGTGGCAAGCTGAAAGTAGGAGACCGGATCTTGGCAGTGAATGGATGTTCCATCACCAACAAATCCCATTCAGACATTGTCAACCTAATCAAGGAAGCGGGAAACACAGTTACCCTCCGCATCATTCCTGGGGATGGTAAAGTATACCTATTATCTCTCTATCTCTCTGTCTCTCTTTCTCCCTCTCTCTGTCTGAGTGTCTTTCTCTCGCTTTCTTTCTCTTTCTTTCATTAGTGTTCATGTAATCGAATAGTATGAAGTTAGAGGCAGCCGTATCCATTCCTAACTGAACATACCTATCAAACAACTGTGAGCCATCTTAACTAAACCATATCTCACCTCTTATTTCACTAATCCCCTTGCCCTGTGACTCTTGTCTTGCTGCAGATATACAAGTTTCAGAAAATCTTTCATTTTTCCCAACTTATTTTGTTTCTGGTGTCCTTGTCTTCAAAACTATAGAATTGTCTTCATGCAGGTAATAAAGATCCCCTGATATTGAAATTATTAATACTTATTTTTTTGGTTTTTTTGTTTTGTTTTGAGAGAGAGAATTTTGCTATATGGCGCATTTGCTCACTGGAGAGACAGAAAGAGACAGAAAGCAAGAAATCACTCCCTGGGGAGATGGCCATGCCACAATTCCTTCTCCTCCTTTCTCCTCTAGGGATCTTGAGTGGACATGCACACGTACCTGGCATGAGTTTTAGCCACCAGGTCTGGGACTCAAACCACAGTCACCTACATAACCATTATGCCATCTGCTGGTCCCTCATTCATGATGTTTTTAAGCAGTCACTGAAATTTAACTATAGTATGGTGACTTCATAAAATCTACATAATGGCAGTGTAGAGCCAGGGCTATGACTTTTCAGAATAAATGAATGCACTGGTTTCTGTTTTGTTTTGTTTTATTTTGCAAAATAGGAAAGACTTCAGATCTCTACCTACTTAATTTTTTCTCTAATTTTAAATATAGGTTAAGAAAGAATTAAATCTCAATGTCTTTGATAGAGTATATCTACATTAAACTAGGCCTCTTCTTGTTTGGGTTGTTTGTACGTTTGGGTAAATTCTTTCATACCTATGGCAGTTGCCTACCACCAGCATTCAGAGGACATTGGGCATTGTCTGCAGTGGATGTTAATAGCAGCCAGTGGGCAGAGACCACGGTTAGCTCTAAACGTCTTACAAAGCACAGGACAACTTCCACAATAAGATAATTACCAAGTATAAAATATCAGTACTTTGTTTATTATTCATGTTTAGTAAAAATGAAGCTGATCTACTAATGTCAGTAAATATAGATTCTCAAGGGAAATCCTGAATATTGACTCCATTCTAGGGTGACTTTGCCCTTGGGTGGAAAGTGATACTTCTCTCAAAAATGTTTACTTTTTTAAAATTCTTGCTACACATTATAAAATGAAACATATACTCAAAAAGTCGGTATTTCTCAAGAGGAAAATGTAGTATGTAGAGATGGTATGATACAAAGCTAACCGTGGTCTCTGCCCACTAGCTGCTATTAACATTCACTGCAGACATTTTTACCGTAGATCTGTAAAATAAAATCAGAGATTTTTATCTAAGTTATTCCCAAATGAATATTTTTACATGCTTATGATTAGAAGGCAAGGGATATACTTCAAAATTTGAGTGACGTGTAGTTAGCGCCTTACCAAAAAAAAAAAAAATGCAAAACCAAACAATAAATATTTGAAAATTGTTGATTCCAAGAACAGAGAACTTTGTCTGAACCAAAAATATGCTAAACCAAATGTGGAGGGAAAAATTAGCTCCTTGAATGATAGCCTACTTCATCCTCCTTCAAGTGCATGGTTAGTAATTTACCATCTGGTCTGTAGTCCATTCCACCAATTCACCACCCTGGAAAGCTATTATAATTTAGGAAAGTGATCACAAGATGATAAAACATAGGTTCCTAATGTAAAGGGTGAAGGAAGCCAGAAAAATAAAGTAACTAATGGTTGAGAGCGCCAAATGCAGTCGATAAATTTAAACACGATTATCTACATTGCCATGGAGAGATTTGAAGAAACGTATCCAAAAGAGCAGGTGGACACCAAAATTGGCTTGATGACCCTGAACTGGTCAGTCTTGATGTGGGAAAGAGAATATCCCAAAAAGGAAAGAAGGAAATAAAGCACTCCTTGAGGGAAGGGTTTAGAAATAGAGTTTGAAATCAGGAAAGACATAGATAGAAGTGACTTATGCTACAGGATACAGACTAGGTGTTTATTAAATAAGATATAACAGAAAATGGTTTTTTTTTTTTTTTGAAAATCTGAACACACAAAAAAATGCAATGCAGTGTGAATTAGCCAATAAAAGTTGGCAATAAAAGGCATTTAAAATTTTAACAATTAGAAAATATGAAATTCATGGGGCCAGCAGGTGGCCTGGTGGTTAATGCTCTGGACTCTTATATGGCCAACTGTGGTTTGAGTCCTGAAACCAGCAGCTGCAAAATTATGCCAGGCTCATGTGTGTGCATGCATGCATGTCCAGAAAGGCCAAGAGGAGAGTGGAGAAGGGATTGTAGTATGACCACCCCCCCGGGGGCTGATTTCTCACTTTATTCCTCTCTCTTTTTGTTTCACTTTCTCCTGTAAATGTACACCTCCTATGACAAAAGATATTTTTAAAAAATGAAATTCACATTGTCATCTCATACGCTCCCTTGACTAGGAGAAAATAAACATAAACAGGATTGATTTTTTTTTTTAAGGCAGCACATGTTCTTCTGAGGTTGTGATTTCATCGAGGATATTTTAGGAATTTGTGGCCATAGTAATAAAACTCTGCACCAGTTACTTTGTAGGTGTCAGAGAGCAGGTAAAAGGAATCAAGTCTGGTGGAGAACGAGCTCATCTTCTAAAAGGGACCAAAAATTGCCTTCTTGGAAATTAGAGTTGAGGCAGTGGGAGTCAGATTTCTGGAGAGATGCTAGAGAGATTCAGGAGGATTTTGCAAACACCAGGAAGACAGAGAGTGACCATCATGGTTTGGTGAAGAGAAAATCATGCTGAATCCACTCTTTTCTGTGAAATTATGTTGGACGTGGTTGATGGCAGGGTAGAAGGTGCTCTGTGTTAGGAACCTCTGGCCTCCTTTAGATCTTCCACTCTAATATTGATTTCATCAAGTAGCCCAAAGGCTATTTGTTTTGTGATACCTATGAGAAAGCTAAAGTTCTTAATTCAGAGTGCTTTCTAAGCTCTTAGAAATCCATCCTGTCTGGATACTGTTCTCAGAAATCTTAAGAGCCACTTCAAGAAGATACCCTCACTGGGCAGTTCTCAGAACCCACTTTGAATCCACTTCTTTATCTCATTCATGCTGCCTCATTCTTTCTCCAGTATCACTTATCTCGGTCTAGTTTTCCTCACTGTGCTTCCCCCATTTCTCTCACTCCTCCGACATAAGCTCCAAAATGTGACTCTCCTGTATTTGGGATTACTGTGCTGTTAGCAGGCCTTTCCTCCCAGACCTTGGTCAGGCCAGCATCAGGAAGTCTTGACCCTGTGCTTTCACTGTCTTTCAGACTGGGGGTGAAAGGGGCGGTGGGGCGGAGTAGAAACTTGTCCCCTGTAACATATGGGTGAAGGTTAGTAAATACATAATGACATCTCAGAAAGCCACAGAGAATAGGTGAAAGTATTGAGTCTGAACTTAAAATTTGACAAGTCTCACAATACTTACATGAAAATGACCCACACAGTCTGAGTAAGAGCGAGACTTTGATCAGAAAAGGCAGAACCTCACTGAGCCAGGCTAACATGGAACCATCAGACTGAATCAAATTCAAGAGAACGAAAATATTCATGAGCTTAAAATATATATTATTTAAATCAGAGTCTTAAATTTGATCAGATTACTCTGATCCGAAGTAGTTGTTAATATGGGGGTAGCACTTGGCAAAGCAGATATTGCTTTTTCCTTGACAAAGGCATAGATTATTAAAATGTCTCCCTCAACTTTTCAAATATTTATGGGATTCAAATGTTTTAACACTGGCTTCAGATATTTATTACATATATGTTTATTCATTAAAATATTGATTGTATCCTTGGTTGAATTGCTTGGCTTTTTCATGTGGATTCTGAAAGAGAGGCTAAGAATATTAACATGGAAACAAGGTTAGCATTGTAACCATTTGTCATGGAGATGGTTAGAACCCAAGGTAGAAGCTCTTTTCAGAAGAGTAAGTATCAGGCTTTAGATCAGCCCCACGACTGTGCCTTGAGAGTTAGGATATACTTTTCTTGATACATGGCTACTATGGAAAGTACAACACCACACGTTTTCACTCCTCTAGGAGAGCTAATGTAGGTATAAATACTGTTTAATAGAGGATATAGGGTACTTTCTGTAATTCGTCATAAAAATATTCAGTCTGGGGACCAGTAGTTAGTGTAATGGCTATGTCACTGGACTCACATGTAGTCGACCACAGTTCAAGTCCCAGACCCGGTGGCTTAAATTCATGCCGGCGTGTGTGCGTGCATGCCCAAGATCCTGAGAGAAGAATGGAAGAGAAGGGATTGCAGTGTGGCCATTCCCCCTGGAGGGTGATTTCTTGCTTTCTGTCTCCCTTTCTGGTGAGCGCACGGACCCTATAGCAAAAAATCTCAAAAAAAAAAAAAAAAAAAAAAAAAAAAAAAAAAAAAAAAAAAAATATGTTCACTCAAACACCATAAGAAAAGAAAAGAAAAAATAATCTGTTCACTTGCCTGAGTTTTCAAACTCAAATTCATTGACCCTCTTTCTAACACTTCTGCTGAAAGGTAGAGAAACTCATACTCTTGTTTCAGGCCCTTCCTTTATATTTTTTCCTGTAATATGGGGCAAATTTTGCTTTGGGATAGAGGCATAAGTTTTTGATAGTGGGCTTCATCTCTCTATTTAAAAAAGTTAGAGAGCCTGTCATCAGATATAATCTTGGTTTAATTCCAAACAAAGACTTAAAAGTGCATTAAGCCAAGTATAACTTTACTAATATTATAAAAGCATCCTAGAAATCTACGATATGCTGAAAATTATTTATTGCTCTGAAGATGGCCCATGAAATCTAGCAGGTGAAGAAAGATAGTTTGTGTTTTAATTGATCGACAGGCCTGCATAGAGAAATTGATAGTATTTATGCAGTACAATAAAAACATTGCTTATTTGAAAGGAAACTTCCAATTAGATATGGTTTTCTTCATACCAATATGTAACTCCTTTGTAAACAGAAGAAGTCTAAAACAAGCAGGCTTCGTTTAATTCTCAGTGCCTCCATATGCTCCTTGAATGACCTTGAGGTTATGATCTACCTTTTCTAAGCCTCAGTGGTCTCTACTGGTAAAGGGTAGGAAGGAGCAAATAACTGCACCTGTTTTATCAAGTGGTGAGAATTAAATGAAGCAATGCCTGTGGTAATGAGCTCGTCTGCACAGTGCTTGGCGTAGTATAAATGATCAGTTAATGGTAGTTGCTCATAGGTTAAGAAAAACAATGAAAGAAGGAAAAACTTAGTGAACTCAAATAGATATTTGCATATTAAATTTTGCATATTAAATGTTAATTTTAAAATGCTTAAAGTTATGCTTCTACCCCCAAAATATTTACATATGCATAAAAATAGGAAAATAGAAAGGAATGTTAATCAAGAGAGCCTATTGATATGTGCATTGAAAGCTTTTCTATGATACCTCATCAAACCATAAAGGCAGCAGAAATATAAAAATTGGTTAAGAATGGCATCTGATCTGCCTAGAAAACTCTTGCTACCAAGAATATACAGGCATGCTATAGAGAAACCTTTGTACAATTCAGTAATTATAATCACTTTAATTACAAGGAAACATTCTTTTTGGTATCCCAATTATGATTTCCCCATGGCCCGAACAGTCTTGTGATTTCCCAGAAAGTCTGCATGAAATGAATTACAATGAGCAATCTGAACTTTGCTGCAGGTCTGGAAAATGTGTTTTTGAAAGTTCTAGTCAGTCTCGCGGACAGGCTATGTAGTCTGTTTATCCTGTATACTGATAGAGTGGGCACACTTTGAGAAATACCACTAAAATTCATCACTTAGTTTTTGCTGGTTAACTGAGCATAGTGGGGAGTGATATAAAGGAGGCAGTATCTGAAGGCTCTGGAAAATAAAATGATTTCTATTATAATAGCAATCATAAAAATGCACTAATAATGCTTGCAGCATTATAACAATAATAAATACATGTTGCCAATAAAAAATAAGCTAATTGTTTGTTGAGCAATTTGTCTGTGCCAGGAACTATCCCGAACACTTTTCTTTCAAGTAATCATTGCCCCAATTTCCTTAGGTATTTCTGCTAATCGCTTGGGTGCAGATGATGCCACTGAGGCATAGAAAGTGAAAGTAATTGGTTATGACTCGGGTAGTTACTGTAGAGCCTAGGATGCAAAGTCAGATTGTCTGATTACAGAATCTGACCACATACCCGTTGCCCTAAACTCCCTCCCAGTGAGGTTGAGAAGCACCATGTCCTCTGCGGAGGGTTAGAATTCATACAGGCTTAGCAAAGGCTCCGAGTCCTCAGGAAAAGTAAAATACAGACACACCAAAACTTGCACCTTTGTTCCACCCATTATTTCCCAAACTTAATTGACCATAGGTTCTTTTCCAATCTGTAGAAACATTTGGTAAAACAGATTGTGGTAAATACTGTCGTAAAGCCTGAGTAGGATTCACACAACAATTCACTTGATCTGGTTACATTAGCTCATTCATCTTGTGCTTTAACTATGAGAATAATGGACTTTTACAGCTGGAGGATACACTGTTGAAATCATATTTCATCTTTCTCTTTTTGCAGGGAGTTTAAATACTTTTAGAAGTTCCCACAGTGATAACTAAAAAATAGTAGCAAGGGCTATAGATACAAAAAATGATATTGAGTGTTTACTTTATACTACACATTGCCTGTTCTTTGATCCGTGGGAGAGGAATTACTGCCAGCATCACCTTTTATCAAATGAGAAAATGTGCACAGATCGTGAATAGAGAAAATGGGGACTTAAACCTTGTTCTAATGCTCAAAGCCAAGTATTTAACTCCACGATGTAATGAATATAATGTAACAGGAAGCCAGAAATGAGCTGAATGATAGCCTTAGGAAATTAAGATGGAAGAGAGATCATAAATAGTTGGGATTTGTGAAATATACTTTATCCCACAACTGTAGTGGAAAGAGATGTATTCCGGGTATCCCAGTTTAGAATACTTGTTTTCCCATAGAAACCTTGTTATACCTGATGGTAGATATATCCATTCAGAAAACATTTGAGAGGCCTGTTGTAAAGCATAGGACTCATAGAAACTTCTAGACTTCATGGTACACCAAGAATTATATTGGTATTTACAGGCTAATCTTAGAACCTAACCATCTAGTTAGCATTTTCTTGATTAAGAAATATATGCTACATCCAAACAGTCAACCTAAAAATAAGTATTAATAGTATGACTTATTCATATTCGGTTGCCACCTGCCTTCATCCTGATGGAGAAATAATTAGTAAGAGAATGTAGAACCATGACTACATAAATGGTTAAATTTTAATACATGCACGTTGGTATCTAGTCCACAGTTATACTCAGGAGTGTTTCCAGATTCTGAATCTCCAAACTTCTAGAGATTAATGGAGTTGCTTATGAATGTGATTAGTGGAGAAGAAAGTCAATTTACATAAGAATATAATTGTATTCATTACATTAAGGTGGCTTCATGATTTATACAACTTATATTTACAAACTCTGCCTCAAACTAACGCAAGTTTTAAAATTAATCTTTCATGAGTGGTACTAGATGAGCTCTGTCAGGAGTTCCATATTTTCAGTTGTGCTTCATTAAAAGCAATGAGGAAGAAAGTGTTTATTATGTATGTGTGTTTAACAAGATGTGTGCACACTTTTGAGTTTAATATTCACATGACGATATCAAGCAGACTCACTAAATATTGGTAATAAATCGCAGGGTGTGTTAGCAGAGACATTTACTGTCGGCTTGTAAAATTCTGGGAAATAATTCTGGTGGGGTGCAGCATTTTGATGGGACTGCCATTTTTCAGTGACAGAATGAGAGAGAGAGACTTACCTTGGCCCCGGTTTTAGAGCAGCGGTTTCTGTGACAAATTCTATTTCATTTATGGGGATGTCTAGCTGGGAGGAAGGTTCATGGGAGCATGTGTGGCCCACATGTGAGCTCTTAGAATGGTTCATTAAACTCCTAATTGTTTAGAAAGTTGAGTCAAACTGTTTGAAATGGTGACAGAGAAGGCACACTTGGCATTCAGGTCAGGGCTTTTGCACACCTCCTGGTTTGACAATGTCTTCTCTGGGGCCTTCATTATTTTATGTTCTGTTTCTCCCTACAGAGTCCTCAAATGCCACCTTGTTGACCAATGCAGAGAAGATTGCCACCATTACCACCACACACACCCCTTCTCAGCAAGGGGCCCAGGAGACAAGGTCAGATGAGCTTTGATTTCTTTTATTATTTTAAAGGAGAAAAAAGTAACTCCAGCGCAACTCTCCGGGTCCTTGATTCTTTCTCAGTTTCCCGGTGAATCGTTCTTACACTTATTTCTCTCACCTTGGCAGAAATACCACCAAAGCAAAGCAGGAATCTCAGTTTGAGTTCAAAGCACCCCAGGCAACACAGGTAAGGGCTGGGTCTCTTTTCCTTCTGTATATTTTGTACATTTACTTACAACTTTCTGGAGATATTTTTAGGAGGGCTTTTGTTTGTTTGTTTTTGTTTTTGTTTTTTTAAAGGCATCTCTAGTTAAAATAATTAACATTTTATGTCTTAGGAAATGATATTTTATTTTAGTCCCTTTGAAAATATTCCTAGATAGCCTTTTGTAGGAGAAAAACAAAGTGAAAAGCTGCAATTGGCCCAAGGATCAGATAAGAGAAAAAGCAAAGCTCTTGGAACCAGCAGACGGCATAATAGTTATGTTGATGAACTCCCATGTAGTCAACCGCAGTTCGAGTTCCAGACCCAGCAGCTTAATGTTAAAATTACATATTAGTAGAATGTTTTAAGAAAAATTGAACTTTGAGAAGTCTCTCCCACTCTTCAGCTGTTTACTACTAAAAGCAAAATAGCAATGACAGTTTGAAAATGTTATATTCCTAGCAGTTTAGATGAAAGAATGAATAATCCACGAGAAGTTGTCTATACTCACAATTGAAAAACTGGTCTTGATTTGTTTATATAATAAAATAAATGAAGGTCCATCACAACCAGTACATGTCACATAAGCATCTAGAGTTCATATGAGCAGTATAATTATATTACAGTATTATGTTCTTCAGACACACAAATTAAAATACTATCTCTATTCTAATCATTGATAGGCCCGACAGTTGCTACACCACCCACTTCCTTCCTAGAACCTGAGTCTTCCTGACCTTTCTTCAGACGTTAAAATATAACCTAAAGTGGTAGTTACGTTTAGGAAAATTCCCAAAAAAGAGGGACCAGTAGATAGTGTAATAGTTGCGATGCTGGACTCCCGCATTTGAGTTCCCATCCAGGTTTAAAACACACCAGGTGCATATGCTTGCATGCCCAAAGTCTAGAGAGGAGAGCGGAGGAGAAGGGATTGCAGTGTGGCCATCCTCCCTGGGGGGTCATTTCTCACTTTCTGTCTCTCTGGCGAGTGCACACACTCTATAGCAAAAATCTCTCTCTCTTAAAAAAAAAGGAATCTTTATAAGCTTATTTCTGCCAAGAAGATGTATTTTTGATAAGGCATTTCTCAGGCTCGTGAATTTCAGGTGAGACTCACAGAATAAGACACCTGTCCCTATGCAAATAATAGCAGAAGCAATTCGGGAAACATTGGGTAATGAAAAGTGAAATTCGTTCTGTTACTATGGCCACCATGGACCCTTCAGTAGTTCATTCATGATTCTCCTGCAGGATGGTTACTGCACTGCAGATGTGTAGAGGTTATTGTTGGTACCGTCATGGTGGGTACTGTTAGCATTTATCCAGTGTAGGTCAGGAAGGCTGAACATCTGTCATTAAATGGGAAAGTATTATGCAATGAAGAATTTTCCTGGCTCAAATGCCAATTGCAGCCTTACTTATTAGATGTTAATACATGCATATTGTGTTAGATACATGCTTATAGAGAGGCATGCTTATGGATATTTTCAGATTGTGAATCTCCAACTTCTGAGATTAATGCGTATCAATGAAGATGGTTAACAAACAATTAAGACCCATCAAAGGGGTGTCTTTTTGCCAAGTCAACATAAAGAAGAATGTTTGGGAAGACATGGAGAGAAAATATGTGTGGATTTAAGTTCTTCTAGAATGATTGCATTTATTTGTTTGTTTGTTTGTTGGTTTGTTTATAAATAGGAGCAAGATTTTTACACTGTGGAACTGGAGAGAGGAGCCAAGGGATTTGGCTTTAGCCTTCGAGGGGGCCGAGAGTATAATATGGACCTCTATGTTCTGCGCTTAGCAGAAGATGGTCCTGCAGAAAGATGTGGAAAAATGAGGGTAAGTAGGGAGAGTACAGAGTGGATGTAAATAAACCATCTACACTGACTTCTTGACATATATATTTTAAAACAGTTATGTTTATGAGAATTACATTTTTCTGGGTTTTTTTTAAGACACTCTAAATGCATGATTCCTACCAAACCATGTCTTTCTCTCTTTATAAAGCCTAGTTAGTATAGCTGCTAAAAGTGAGCCTTCCAACTCTTTGGGGATGAGTGAAAGATTAAAATTACTTAAAGCATATTAAAGCAGACATTTTCTGAATGCTATTTCCATAGTTTTTGTCTTTATGGTTCAGGCACATCCTTTCCCGGGAGTTCTGGGTACCCCAAGGGTGCATAGGGACCGGGAAAGCTATGCAGATTCTGGGTAGTGAGCTCCATTCTCTCTGGAGCTAGTCAGAAGCCATTTTAACCTCACCTCAGAGAGAGCAAGGGGCCAACAACTATGTGGCATAAATATTCCAAGTTTCTCCATAGTAGTCAAAGTTGCAAATTTTAAATATTCAAATGTTGAAAGACAATCGCATATTATTTTGCTATCTGATATCTGTTACTTTGGATGAATGAGTCATTCTCTTGGGCAGAGTAAATGATGAAGAAGAACTAGGTCTTTTACTCATTATGGGTAGGTTACATAGATTGAGAGGTCTACATGGAGAGCCATTTGCAACAAATTAAAAGATACCAAACAGTCAGGTCAGGTTAGGATAGGAAAAAAGTAAATGAAATTGAGCCTGAGCAGAGAAAGAATGACAGAGGGTGAGGAACTAAGTATTTGCCCTGAAGTCACAGTCTTGATTTTTTTTTAAGTTTTTCTAAAATAACTTTTTTAAAAAGTTTTGCTATAGGTTACTTGTGCTTGCCGAGAGAAGAGAGAGAGAAAGTGAGAAATCACCACCCCTCCCAAAGAGGAATGATCATGCCACAATCTCCTCTTCTCCATTCTCCTCTGAAGATTATGGGTGCACATGCACAAGCACCTAGTGTGTTTCTCAAACCACCAGGTCTGGGACTCAAACCTCACAGTTGGTCCTATGGGATCTGCCGCCTTAATCTCTGCACAACCTGCTGGCCCCCAAAATGAACTTTTTAATACTGTTTTTTAATTGAGAAAGTAGAACAGGAGTATGGTTTAAGAAAATATAACAGTGAAAAATGGTACCTAGTAAAAATGCAGTTTCCAGGGCCAAGCAGCATACCTGCTTCTTGAGTATCCTTGCTTTTTGCCTGTGCGTGCACAATTTGCGCACAGACCAGGAAAGATAAATAGTAGAATGTATTTCTTTTTCTTGAATGTTAATTCATAGGATTTGCTTTCCCTTATCTTTTATTACCATAAAAAGTTTCTGGCTGAATGAAATATTACCTTCATGATATTTTGTACTGGTATAGAGTTCAATAAAGCACATGTATATGAATTATTTGCTTTGATCCCCATAGCTTGATAGGTGTGGATGTTGCTGTGATCTCCTTCTACAGATGCGAAAGTGAATACCAAGAAATTGAAAGACTTAAGCATGATCACTTGACCAAAAAGTGATAGGATTCATATTCAAGGATTTAGACTTGAAAGCCAGTGATGTTCCTGTTCTTTCTTGTAGAATGTAAGCTCCAT